GAGGACATGCCCTTATTCTATCATCCCAGACTGTAGCCACTACACCTACAACAATCTAGAGAAGACTCGTTAGTGCACAACGTACACAAATCAAACTAGAAGGAAACACGTGTTAACTAGTAACCTAGTTGAAAGGTTTAACTATTGCGAAGTAAAGTAACAGTAATTTAGCTAACAGCAAACGGGAAACAGTAAAACAGGAGGTACCAACTCCCGATAACAAAACCTGTGGCTGATTTTAAGTAATCGACATGGACGTCACAAAGGTAATTTTTATTTTAATTAATTAGAGTAGTTGATTCTTTTATATAAAGCATTCTTTCTCATTTATGGACTAACATTTGTTGACAAACTCTCTGTGCAAAGAAAAATAGGATCATAGTACTACTTTTGATCAGTGCAACAGTCAACAACAACAATAACGACCCAGTATAATCCCACAAGTAGGGTCTGGGGAGGGTAAGATGTACGTAGACCTTACCCCTACTCCGAAGGATAGAGAGGTTGTTTCCAGGAGACCCTCGGCTCAAAAAAGCAATATGAGCCGATATATTAGTACCATAAAAATGCATAATAAAATAACAACAATATAAGAGATATGAAATACAGAATACGAAATACGAAATAGATTGCTGATATAGTAAAACTAGCAGGTAAAGCCCTGCATCAATAAACGACCAATGACATTCTTAGTCTAACTCCTAACTAGCTAGTCTCACTCTATTGTGCTGTAGAAATATTCACAACTTTCCTCTAACCTGCAACCTTAATGCTCGACCTCCATAATTTCCTGTCAAGGGTCATGTCCTCAGTAATCCTAAGTCGCGCCATGTCCTGTCTGATCACCTCTCCCCAATACTTCTTAGGTCGCCCTCTACCTCTCCGCGTGCCCACTACAGCCAGTCGCTCGCACCTCCTCACCGGTGCATCAGTGCTCCTCCAGTGACAAAGGAAATTACTGGGGTATTAACCTTCCTTTCCTTTGAAGCTTCACATATCTGCTTGTACTTTTAGCTATCCCTTGTATACATATTGCTGTGGAATTTTGGTCTAGGGGTGGGTGGGAGGTTTTTGAAGGAATTTCCTGCTGCGTTACGTTAAAGTTCAAAGAATAATTTTCCCTCCACATTTAGTGTTACCGTATGTATCAGTTGACTAGGTCCAACACCAATAATTCTATGGAGCAGAGCCCAACCATACAAACTTTTTCAATAGCAATAATTGTTATAACTTTGTTGAAAATAGTGTTCTCTCGCCACAACCACAATTTTTCACATATAGTTTTCTTATTCCTTTGAAAAAATGAACATTGAGTCCGTGGCATCTTCTTTAAGGGGCTGATATGTGCTTGGCCTTTAATCAATTACGGTAGTTGTTTATTGGAATTTTTACGCCCTATAGAAAACCTTAGTACCCTATTTATTTTAAATAAATACCATTTTAAAATATTACATCATATAGATACCTTTTATACTTTATAGTCAAATATCTAATTATAGTTACATCCTACATTTAAGGCACCATATATGCTAAATAATATTTTTCTCTCTCCTTTTTAGTCTTTTCTCTCACATAATCACAGTAAAATTGACTAACCACGTTCTCTCTCTTTTTGCATACACTTTACTCTTTCTCCCTCAACCCACGATTCATACCTCTCCTCCCACCCAAATTCTCTAGTTCTCCTCCATTATCACTCTATTACAATCACCTAGGGTAAGTTTAATTCGTTGATTTTGATAGACGAAGAGCAATTGGTTCAACTGTAGCGGCTCGATTCTGCTTGGCAGTGGTCGTTGAAGTAGGGTTCACAGCTTTTGCGTAATTCATAGCTTCGTTTGTGGGATTTGAGGGCTGGGGATGGTTTGTAGTTGCTGTAGGAGGTTGGGCAGATGTGTTAAGGGACTGACCAGCGGGAATTAATGGCTGGCCGCCGGCAGGCTGCTTCTCTCTCTAGATCGCCCAAATCGCCTATTTGTATTCAGTTGTATTCGAATGTATATTTCAGCTGTATTCACATGTATTCAGTAGCATTAATTTATATATTTTAGATGTATTAAAAAGTTATGCGTATTCTCTTGTATTCAGTTTTAATCAGTTGTATTTAACTATTTTATTCAGCAGAAGTTAGTTGTATTTTGTTGCATTAAAGAGTTTTATTCAGCTGTATTCAGTTGTATTTTGTTGTATTCAAGTGTTTTATTCAGATGAATTAAGTTGTATTTTGTTGTATTCAACTGTATACAGTTCTACTCAACTGTATTATTCATATGTATTTCTCTTTATTCAGCTATAATCTTTATTATGTATCTTTCAAATACAGACTAATGAGGGATCGTTTTAGTTCGTTGAGTTAAATTAGGAGAATATCATGTGATTTGATTTCCTTAGTTCGTGGAGTTAAATTAGGAGAATATCATGTGATTTGATTTCCTTAGTTCGTGGAGTTAAATTAGGAGAATATCATGTGATTTGATTTCCTTCCGTTTTTAACCAGTTTAACCTTCTGTATTTAACGTTAATGTCGCTTGAATATAGCTAAATACATGTCAAACTTAGCTGGAATTCCAGTTTTTACGCCTATTTTTTTGGTTGTATTAATGAATACAACAGCTTAAATACATAAAATACATTGTATAAAAACATAAAAGGTATCTATAACACGTAATATGAAGTTTTTGAGAAAAGTAATATTCCTTCGCATTTATGGACCTACATTTGTTTTCACTTTTTATCTGCGCAAAGAAAAATAGGACCATAGTACTGCTTTTGATTAGTGCAATTGTTGTTTGTGACTAAGAAAACTACTGGGATATTGCCCTGCATTTTCGTTGTAGCTTCATATATCGACTTGTACTTTTAGTTGTCCCTTGTGTACATATTACAGTGGAATTTGGTGCAGGGAGGGTGGGTGGTCTTTGATGGAATTTCCTACTTCCTTCTAGTACAGTGCAAAGAAAACCCTATAACAATAATAATTCTAATCAACTGGAGTAGAACATTAAGAAAAGCTTCACAAAAACTCCTACTATTTACTTTCTATTAGGAGTAATCTAAGGTGGATCTAATATTTTGGAAAGATAGGTGCACTGTTACGAAGAGATGAATCCAGGATATAAATTTTACGGGTTCAACATTTGGTTCTTACTATTTCACTTTTGGAATTATAAGTTCAAAACTATTATTTTTTTAATAGTAATTTTCTTGTATCTATATCTATACTTTGTGCTAATAATATTGGGATGAGTTGAACCCAATAGCATATTATTTGTTGCATCATGCACTAGTTTAGTTTGCACATTTTATTTAATCATATAAGATTTTCCGGTTACAAAATAGGAATTTCACTATTGAAAATTTTGAAAGAATAAATCAAAAAAAAAGAAAAAGAAATGTCCTTAATTAATATGCATCATGTGATGCTTAGTTTTAGAAAGAAATAATAAATAATATGATTGGCGTAAGATTTAAACTCGTGAATTTAGAGAGATACATCCAATATTATATACTCCATGATCTAGGGAGGAAAACATGGGTTTACGCTCGTGAAAGTAATGCTCTATAAAACCCTACCACATATAATGCTACAATATCCAATAGCAATAATTGTATGGAGTAGAACTCATCTTTTTTAGTAACTTTTTATTTTTTGGAGTGATATTTATTTATTTCTAATCTCCTATTTATAACTTAGTCAAAAATATCATCAGCTGTCTTACTAAAACGACCACAATAAATTCATACAGTTTTCTTTTTCTTCTTCTTCTACAAATGTAGAAAGCTCTTTTTTATTACTATTTAGTACTTTTCAATACAACACTTCTTAGAAATTCAAAGTGGGAAACGATAAATTCCGTGTTATTTCTAGGCCCACTTTTGTTTTCACTGCATGCACAAAGAAAATGCAAGGTAGTGCTTTGTTTGGTTATTATCTTCAACTATAATGAAATCAAGTCGTCATGTGTTGTTACTGACAAAGAAATAACACGGATATTACCTTGATTTTAGTCATTAACATATTTTACTATTCAAATAAACATGCTTATAATTTGTTGAGTAACATGTTTTGTTTAGGTTATCTTTATTAATTTTATATTCAAATTACACTAGATGCAAATATCGGACAATATAATCATATTAAAAAACTGAAAAATATTTTACTGGACGAAGACTTTGTCAACCACCTAGAAAATTAAAATAGAAAAAAAATTCAATCAATATGGTCTTTTTCTTTGGCAGAGAAGAGAGAGAGGGGGGGACGTTTATGTTTGTGCTTTTGAGCAATAATTCAATTGTTCTTATCTCTTTTAACTTTGTTGAAAATATCATCGAGGAGTATTCTATTGTTCTCTTACTACAACCACAATTTTTTTAAAGTGAGAATAAAGCAGGGGCGGGCCTGCTCGAACATACACAGCAGAGCTTCGAATCACCCTTAGAAAATAATCCTAACTAAGCTATTGTCCATAAATGGCCTACCATTTATAGCGATTATTATATCAATATTGCTTTTTGGTAGGACCAAAAGAAAATAAATAAATTATTTTCAGCTGTTTACTGTGTTTTTTTGTTTTATTTTCTTTATTAAAATTTACCAGTTTCAATTTTCACCAAAATGTTTAAGGCTAGTAGCCACAATCTGGAACGTGCCAGTATGTGAGATCTCATACAAACTTTTCCAATATCAATAATTTTATCTCTTCTAACATACATAAAACTTTGTTGAAAATATCATCTATTGTTCTCTAACCACAACCATTATTTTTTCACATACAGTTTTCTTACTCTTTTCAGAGAATAAAGACCGAGTCCATGGCATCTCCTTCTCCTTCTTCTTCTTCTTCGGCTAGATGGAGCTATGATGTTTTCCTAAGTTTTAGAGGTGAAGATACTCGGAAAACGTTTACAAGTCACTTATACGAAGTCTTGAAGGATAGGGGAATAAAAACCTTTCAAGATGAAAAAAGGCTAGAGTACGGTGCAACCATCCCAGAGGAACTCTCTAAAGCTATAGAAGAGTCTCAATTTGCCATCGTCGTTTTCTCGAAGAATTATGCGACATCGAGGTGGTGTTTGAATGAACTAGTGAAGATCATGGAATGCAAGACTCAATTTAGACAAACTGTTATACCGATATTCTATGATGTGGATCCATCACATGTTCGGAACCAAAAGGAAAGCTTTGCAAAAGCCTTTGAAGAACATGAAACAAAGTATAAAGATGATGCCGAGGGAATACAAAGATGGAGGATTGCTTTAAATGCAGCGGCCAATCTCAAAGGCTCATGTGATAATCGTGACAAGTGAGTTAAAAACACATAAGATGATACTTTGCATTCAAATGAGTTAAACATAATCTTACATAAAATTTTCAAATTTTCGGAATATGTAATGGTAGGTGATTATATATGGTTCTATCAACTTAATTACAAACTCAATAACATTGTTACATAGATAAAATTTTAATTAGTTCTTCAAAGAATTTGATTTATGTGCACACTCCTTGTATATATCACAATCTTCTTACTTTTTGTAGGAGTGATGCAGATTGTATTCGGCAGATTGTTGGCCAAATCTCATCCAAATTATGCAAGATTTCTTTATCTTATCTGCAAAACATTGTTGGAATAGATACTCATTTAAAGAAAATAGAATCCTTACTCGAGATAGGAATCAATGATGTTCGGATTGTGGGAATCTGCGGAATGGGTGGAGTCGGTAAAACGACAATAGCAAGAGCTATGTTTGATACTCTCTTAGTAAGAAGGGATAGTTCCTATCAATTTGATGGTGCTTGTTTCCTTGAGGATATTAAAGAAAACAAAGGTAGAATAAATTCTCTGCAAAATACCCTTCTCTCTAAACTGTTAAGGGAAAAAGCTGAGTACAATAATAAGGAGGACGGAAAGCACCAAATGGCTAGTAGACTACGTTCTAAGAAGGTCCTAATTGTGCTTGATGACATAGATGATAAAGATCATTATTTGGAGTATTTAGCAGGTGACCTTGATTGGTTTGGTAATGGCAGTAGAATTATTGTAACAACTAGAGACAAGCATTTGATAGAGAAGTTTGGTATACATCTAGTGACTGCTCTAACTGGTCATGAAGCTATTCAATTGTTCAATCAATATGCTTTTGGGAAAGAAGTTTCAGATGAGCATTTTAAGAAGCTTTCATTGGAGGTAGTAAAATATGCTAAAGGCCTTCCTTTAGCCCTAAGAGTGTTGGGTTCTTCCTTACGTAATAGGGGTATAACTGTGTGGAAAAGTGCTATAGAGCAAATGAAAAATAATCCTAATTCAAAAATTGTTGAAAATCTCAAAATTAGTTATGATGGATTAGAGCCCATACAACAAGAGATGTTCCTAGATATAGCATGCTTCTTCCGAGGGAAAGAAAAAGGTGCCATCATGCAAGTTCTTAAGAGTTGCGATTGTGGAGCTGAATACGGATTGGATGTCCTAATTGAAAGATCTCTTGTGTTCATCACTAAATACAGTAAAATTGAAATGCATGACTTAATACAAGAAATGGGTAGATATATAGTGAACTTGCAAAAGAATCTGGGAGAATGCAGCAGACTATGGCTCACCAAGGATTTTGAAGAAATGATGATCAACAATACGGTAAGCAGGCAAAACAATGCAAGAGTACTTGATTACTAATTTTCATATACCAAAGACATATAGGGCAGTCAATTCCAATTATTTGCTCATCTTAGCGTCATACTCTTGCAGGTATGTCATTTTAGTTGTTTACTTTAGTTAGTAGGAGAAGCAAAAGTAAAATTAATTGCCTAATTAGTAAAAAAAAATACATTAATTGCCTAATTCGTTAAGTAGCCTCTTTAATTTACGTTGCCTAATTCGTTTTTCTTATATTTTTTAGCCATTGATTAGTCTAGCTAGTTGCCACTTAATCTGTTTGATCCAATTTCATGCTTTTGATTAACTTGAAAATTTTATGACATTTTATTATATAATAACTCAAGCAGAGATTCACTTTACCATTTTTTTTAAAAGTCACTACAATTTATTGGTATTGTTTCAATTGCAATTTTTTTCTATCGCAACATGAAAAACTTATAAAATTGACCCTAATGAACTTCTAAGAGAAATGTAATATTAGAAGACAAAACTATAGAATTAATTGCAAAAATTATTTCTCTAAAGTAACATCACTATTTCCTAATGATCTTCTTATCAGGGTACCATGGCAATGGAAGCAATCTGGGTATCGACCTATAGTACACTACGCATTAGCAATGAGGCCATGAAAAATATGAAAAGGCTTAGGATATTATACATAGACAATTGGACGTGGTCCTCTGATGGTTCCTATATTACCCATGATGGCTCAATTGAGTATCTGTCCAACAACTTGCGTTGGTTTGTTTTGCCTGGCTATCCTCGTGAGTCATTGCCATCTACATTTGAACCCAAAATGCTTGTCCATCTTAAACTCTCTGGTAATTCATTGCGTTATTTATGGATGGAAACAAAGGTACAATAGTTAAGTTTTATTTTTCTTTTTAACTATCTTTGTCTTTTAATTTAGTGATAATGGACAAATATTATTGCTTTTGTCACGTATTATTTGAGGTATTAGTTTCTATATTTGCGGGGGAAAAACAATAAACTATATGAACATGAATATTCAGTACAACTGTTTGAGTCTCGACTACCCAGAACTGGTATCACAGTTTCACAGACGATCTACGAATACTACAATTAAAAGTCTAAAAGAATTAAATACAACACTGCCTCTGGAAATACATGTAAGAAACATGAAAGTAGATAGAAGGAGACGCCAAGGCCTACGAACACCTGCAGGGGTACCTCAGGTCGCATGATGAACAAGAATCAGCAATCTCACAGCGGTCCGAAGTCTACAACACTGAGGTCTGCACAAAAGAGCACAAAGTGTAGTATCAGCACAACCGACCCCATGTGCTGGTAAGTGCCTAGCCTAACCTTGGCGAAGCAGTGACGATGCTAGGACCAGACTACCAAATAAACCTGTGCAGTTCAAATATATATATATACAGCGAAAAAAAAAAACAAAAATAAATAAATAAAGATAGGAGGGGGGAAATATGCTTCGGGGAATAACAGGTAAACACAGAATATCAAGAGAATTATAAAGGAATCAATATAAACCACTAACAAGAATAAGGAAAACAAAGGTAGATTTCACTTTCTTTTCATATCTCGTGGGAGGCGTGCCACCCGCTCCCATTTCACTTGTCTTGTGGTAGGCGTACCACCTGCTCCCCTTTTATTATATCCTGTGGTAGGCGTACCACCCGCTCCCATTTTATTTTATCTTTGTTGCGGCGTGCAATCCGATCCACATATAATATTGTTGCGGCGTGCAACCCGATCCACATATAATATTGTTGCGGCGTGCAACCCGATCCATATATAATATTGTTGTGGTGTGCAACTCGATCCATATAAAATATTGTTTGTGGCGTGCAACCCGATCCATATATAATATTGTTGCGGCGTGCAACCCGATGCATATATAATATTATTGCGGCGTGCAACCCGATCCATATATAATATTATTGCGGCATGCAACCCGATCCATATAAAATATTTACCATTATAACGAGAGTCCCGACAAGGGATCAATAAGGACTACACTATCCCGGCAAGGGATTCGACAACATAATTAATTACATCCCGGCAAGGGAGAAACAACTATAACCAAACTTGTTGCAACACCTAACTACCTCAGCTACAACCAAACTCGTTACAACACCTAAGTACCTCAGCTATAACCAAACTTGTTACAACACCTGACTACCTCAGCTACAGCCAAACTTGTTACAACACCTAACTACTTCAGCTACAACAAAAATCCTTACCCAACACAAAGAATCATCAACCTAAGCATCCGTAATATCAATTAAGAACACAATGCAAGGGAGCCACAACTCAACAATAGCCCGGCAAGGGGGCAACATAATGATCTCTTCTCTTTCTCACTTTTACCTCACAATTCACTTCACAACTCGAGCCAATGATCTAGAGTTTATATTATCACTTATACTTTCACAATTCGTTATACAACTAGAACCAACGCTCTTCAATGTTCATAAGTCACAATTCTTTCCACAACTTTACACAACAAATAGAAATCTTCACCAAGGCATGAATAACACAACGAAATCAGGAAAATCACAATATAAGACTCACGGTCATGCTTGATACCAACATATAGATACTCATCACCATGCCTATACGTCGTACTCAACAAGAAACAAATAGCAAATAGGACACAACTCCTAATCCCTCAAGTTAAAGTTAAACCAAACACTTACCTCGAACTTCCACGGCCAACTCAAGCCTCAAACACCGCCTTTTCCTTTGAATTCGACTCCAAATCAATTGTATCTATACATAATCGACTTCATAACATCAATAAACACTAAACAATCCAATTTTGATACTTAATTATAACTTTCTAATCATTCTTCCCAAAAATTCAAAAATTGACCCCGGGCCCGCTTGGTCAAAACACGAGGTTCGGACCAAAACCCGATCACACATTCACCTACTAGCCCGAATATATAATTTGTTTTGAAATCCGACCCCAAAACGAGGTCAAATTCCCAAATAATCAAAAAGCCCTAACTCTACCCAAATCCCCAATTTTCTACCCTTAATCTCATGTTTTTAGGCCTATAATCTAATAGATGTTGATGAAAAGGGAAGAAAACAAGTTAAAAATTACTTACCTAAGAGATTATGGTGAGAAAGTGCTTCAAAAATTGCCTAAGAGCTTTGGAGAAGAAGAGGTTCGTGAAAAATGGCCAATTTCCCGTAATACATTCTGTTTTTGAGCTTAAATAACTGGGCGGATTTTTGTTCTATGCGATCGCGAAGAAAGGAATGCGATCGCATAGGGTAAGGGAAATTAGTCACTGTAATCGCGGAAGAATCAATGAGATCACATAGAACAAATTGTGACCTCCCAGAATTTACTCTATGTGATCGCGGAAGAATCAATGCAATCGCATAGAACAAATTGATGAGTACCAAAATTAACTCTATGCAATCGCATAGAACAAAAACCTGGACACCAGCAACCAGCAAAAACACCAGATTTTCTAAGTCCAAAAACACTCCGACGCCTATCCGAAACTCACCCGAGCCCTCGGGGCTCCAAACCAAACATGCATACTAACTCAAAAACATCATATGGACTTATCAGTATGATCAAATCACCAAATTAATGTCAATAACAACAAATTAAACCTCAAAATCAAAGAATTTCCTCAAACTTCTTAAAATATCAATTTGTGCAATTTAGGTCCGAATCACGTCAATGACATCCGTTTTCACCAAATTCCACAAAATCATCTTAAATCATATATAAGACCTGTATCGGGCGTCGAAACCAAAATACGGGCCCGATACCATCATGTTCTAATCAAATTTCATTTCAAGTTCTTTTAAACAATTTCAGAAAATAATTTTCTTTAAAAATTTATTTCTCGGGCTTGGGACCTCGAAATTAGATTCCGAGCATATGCCCAAGTCCCATATTTTCCTACGGATCCTCCGGGACCGTCAAATCATGGGTCCGGGTCCGTTTATCCAAAACATTGACCGAAGTCAAATTTATTCATTTTATAGTCAAAATTTATCATTTTTCATAAATTTTCACATATAGACTTTTCGGCTACACGCCCGGACTGCGCACGCAAATCAAAGTGATGCTAAAAAAGATTTTTTAAGGCCTCAAAACGCAAAATTTCATATTAAATCAGGTGATACCTTTTGGGTCATCACATTGTTCCCCGTATAATTGTAACGTTTTTTTTCTCCAAGTCTTCCCTTCCTCATTTTAACTCATTCAATTATTTCTCATAGTAAGATTAGATTCACATGAATCTCATCCTAGGGCTGTACATAGTGGACCGGAAGGATTACTTATTAGTAAATCAAAAGGAATTTATTGTATACAACATTTTTCACAAATGACATATACGCTTTCATAGATTGCTTCCGGATTTAACATTTAGGTTTCCCCATTTTATATTATACCTTTTTAAAGAGAGAAACACTTTTCTCTTTGCTACACTTTTTTTCAATCATTTTAAATTACAGTTAGCAATATTTTTATTTATAATTTACTTTTATTCAGTTTCTTAACAAGTAATTTTTCATATATAAAAAATAAGTTTCTAATTTCGCACAAAAATAATGTGTTGGCCCTCAAAAACCAAATGCTATCATTCATTTCTTGTCGATGGAGTAATAAATACTTTTAAGAAAGCTAGCAATAAGTAATTAAAAAATCAAGAAAACAGAGTGTCACACCTCCTTTTTACCTACATCCTGGGAATGGAGTATATAAGGGAGTTTTTGCCAACTTAAAGTGACCATCGAAACAGGATTATTTTATTCAAAATTCAGAGTCGCCACTTGGGATAATTTATGGCGTCCCAAGTCACCGGTTCAAATCTCGAATCGAGGAAAGATTGACTCTGTTTTACAGTCCGCGAACACAGAAATTCGGGTAAGGAATTCTGTTAACCCGGGAGAAGTTAGACATTTCCGGATTCCGTGATTCTAGCACGGTCGCTCAACTATCACAATTGGCCTATTATCTGATTTTAATACATATTTTAGCCTATGGTTCAATTTCAACTATATAAACGCTTTTATTTAATTATTTTTAGGACAAATTCAACGTCATCTAAAACACGTCTTGAACCACATCACATAAATGCACCCGCGGTCCACGATACATTTTATCTAACGTTGTTGAGATTTGGATTTGGGTCACATAAATGTATACCCGAGTTTTAGAAATTAGGCATCACAACTACGTCACGAAAACCGTACCCGTAGCTATGACGGTTTAAGCATGCTCCTAGCGGGAAAAAACGAAAAGTAAATGTAAAACAAGACTAAAATAAATAAATACTCATTTCATGCTCCATTTCTTTCAACCACTTCACATCATTAATTAAACCTAAATCACTTAATTCTAACTAATTTGGTTCTTGTCTTATCCAATTCCACCCAATGCCTAACTAATACTCACGAGTAGTATCATGGAAATAAACGATGAAGTAACACCAAATAACCAATTAAACAAAGGGAAGACCTGCTATCACAGAAGAATCACAATTACTTAGAGCTATTCATCAAACTAGCATAATGAGCTAAAATAAAATGGGTTTTAGAAATAGACCTCAACAAGAGCTAGAATGCCTTTGAAATCAAGTTAACGAGCCAAACTCCAAACGAAATAGGTACTATTATATAGGAGCAGGAATTAGTTGAGGAGAATGAGCCTAGGAATTATGGGCTTGAGAATTATCAGTTAAGTTCAAAATTAGGCCTAAAAATGGGTTGCTCGAGCCCAAGTTTTTATTCTTTTCGCGAACGAGCCTAAAATACGATCTCATTTATTAATTAATCCTACTTAAGTAAAATAACCATTAAAATAAGACTGGCCGTTAAAACAAACTATTTTTGGTATTTTTCAAGATTTAAAATAACTACAAAACATTAATGAACCTATTTTTTGTAATTTTCTTTTTCTTGTAATAAAATAAAGTAACAGAGTAAAAATGAGTTGAAATAGCTATATTAGGCCTAAATTAAATATTTATATGCTAAAATATAAAAAATCTTGGGAGGGTCAAAAATTACGTGTGTACAGAGAGAGATCATTTGATGCCAACAAATAGAGATTAAAAAAAAAAACAAGAAAGGTTTCTACATTCATAGATAGCCCCACTAGACAAATATTTTATTATTGGAGGTCCCTTTTTTTCCCTCTCTCTATCTCATTTTGTCTGTGTTCTTCTGAACAGCATTTGCCGTCTCTGCGGAGGATAGATCTCAGTCGGTCTAAAAGACTAATGCGAACACCAGATTTCACGGGGATGCCAAATTTGGAGTACTTGGATCTGACTTGGTGTTCTAATCTTGAAGAGGTTCACCATTCCCTGGGGTGTTGCAGAAAACTCATTCGGTTAGATTTGTATAATTGTAAAAGCCTTATGAGGTTTCCATGTGTTAACGTGGAATCTCTTGAATATCTGGGTTTAGAATATTGCGATAGTTTAGAGAAATTTCCAGAAATCCACAGGAGAATGAAGCCGGAGATACAGATTCACATGGGAGACTCTGGGATAAGGGAACTGCCATCCTCTTATTTTCAGTACCAAACTCATATTACCAAGCTAGATTTGAGCGGTATAAGAAACCTTGTAGCTCTTCCAAGCAGCATCTGTAGGTTGAAAAGTTTGGTTCGTCTAAATGTGTGGGGTTGCCCAAAACTGGAAAGCTTGCCAGAAGAGATAGGGGATTTAGACAACTTGGAGGAGCTTGATGCCAAATGTACTCTAATTTCACGACCTCCGTCTTCCATCGTACGCTTGAACAAACTTAAAATCTTGAGCTTTAGCAGTTTCGGATATGATGGAGTGCACTTTGAGTTCCCTCCGGTGGCTGAAGGATTACACTCTTTGGAACATCTGGATCTCAGTTACTGCAATCTAATAGATGGAGGACTTCCGGAAGATATTGGATCCCTATCCTCTTTGAAAGAATTGTGTCTCGATGGAAATAATTTTGAGCATTTGCCTCGAAGCATAGCCCAACTTGGCGCTCTTCAAATCTTGGACTTATCAGATTGCAAGAGGCTTACACAGTTGCCAGAACTCCACCCTGGATTAAATGTATTGCATGTAGATTGTCATATGGCTCTAAAATTTTTTCGTGATTTGGTAACAAAGAGAAAGAAACTACAGAGGGTGGGACTTGATGATGCACACAATGATTCTATATATAATTTATTTGCACATGCCCTGTTTCAGAATATCTCTTCCTTGAGGCATGACATCTTTGCTTCAGATTCCTTGTCCGAAAGTGTGTTTTCCATTGTGCATCCTTGGAAGAAGATCCCAAGTTGGTTCCACCATCAGGGAAGGGATAGTAGTGTATCAGCCAATTTGCCTAAAAATTGGTATATACCTGATAAATTCTTGGGATTTGCTGTATGTTACTCTGGCAGATTAATTGACTCCACAGCTGAATTGATTTCCGTATGTGATGACGTGATATCGTGGATGACCCAGAAACTTGCCTTATCAAACCATTCAGAATGGGATACAGAATCTAACATTCATTTTTTCTTGGTACCTCTTGCTGTCTTATGGGATACATCTAAGGCAAATGGAAAAACACCAAATGACTATGGACTTATTAGGTTATTTTTTTCTGGAGAAGTGAAGAAGTATGGACTTCGTTTGTTGTATAAAGAAGATCCTGAGGTTGAGGCCTTGTTACAAATGAGGAAAAATAACAATGAACCAATAGAACATTCCACTAGGATAAGGAGGATCCGATATAACAATAGTGAACACGACTTCATGATCAATGAAGCCAGTTGCTCCTCGGGTAAGAAACAAAAGTCACATTTCTAATTTTCAGGGGAACTCTGTCTTTGAGAATCTGCAGCAACTTTGCAGCTCTTTCCTACAAACCCCGGATTTTAGCTAAAATACAGGTGTATACCTCATGCCTTGTTTTTTATTTATTTATTTGGTATTGAAATTTTGTGTTTTCTCTTTTTATGTAATTCTCTCCTTCTATTAGCTACAAAGTCTTCTTCCAAAACCAATACTATATTTCTTCTTCTCATTCTTTCTTATTTTTCCTTTTTCGTTTTCTTTCAGGAGCTCATCAATGTCTTCTTTGTGATGTACATTGATGAGGGAAACGGAGATGAAGTAATAAATGGCCCACTGTTTCAATTATGGATGCCAGAAAGTTAATCTTCCATGTTGAAAAGATGTCAAAAGTGCAGGCAACCCATTTTCAGGTCTTGAATGTTAGCTTTCTATGCTAAATTCAAATTTGTTCAATGAAATAAATTATTTTGTTCTTTAATTAGTTACTCATCCTTTTCAGTTGATATCAGTGTTTTCAAAGGCGTGTTTAAGCCCTGAAGTGAGGCGCAAAACATGTTGAGCGCTTCGCCTAGCTTAGAGGGTGCTTCAGTGTCGTTATCAAGGCTCTAAGGTATACTTTTCCTTGCCAATGAGCGTAACCCTGAAGAGGCTACACCAAATAATTGATATTTCACTTTTCATAATTCTTTTTTTAAATTTCTTTGTCCATATATTTGTTATTCATGTGTATAATTATTAATCTTGGACTGCAAATACATATTTGTGTTTTTTTTCTCCATTTGTGCTAGTGCCCATACTTTATTTGCGCTTAAGCCCCAACAGACCTTAGAGCTTTTTGTGTTTTTCGCATTTGATAACACTGGTTGATATATCATGTTTCATTTGAGAAGATGAATAGTTTAATTCTTATTTCCTTTATTCACACCAGTTAATCGGAGTCTTTAACAAGGACATGTACCTAAACTTCTTTGGCTCTCTAATTGTTACATTTGGGGAGATCTTTGCCTTACTCTGATTGTTATATTAGAGGAAAATCTCTGCTTTAACTTTTAACTACAAATATCTCTCTTGTTATGGTAGGGAGGTCAGGAAAAAGCTAAAACAATTGACGGCTTTGTGGTAGACTGTGGAAAAAGTTGAGTACGAGATGAAGTTGAGGTTCGTTCTCCCTTATGATCTCTCTGTTCTTTTATGGGGTTTTAAGGAAAAAGTGAAAATAAGCAACGATAATATATTTAACACAAGTAAATGCTCTTTGATTAATATTTACAATGACGGCTTTGTGGTAGAGTTAAAGGCTCACGAGCTTTCAAATTCCTTGAAAATATTGAATGTTATACCAAATTTATTATGCCAAATGTTACTTAGAAGCCCTTTCCTTTCAAGACTGTTTACACTAATTCATCTGATATGATCGTTTCAAATTAAGAATATCCGATCTTTTTTTTATCTCAACGTCTGTTGTTATTTATAAGTGCTTTTGGATTAGTTTTTGCAGTTCAAATGGGAACTGCAAAATATGCAGGGAAAACCATTCCATGGTTGTATTTCATCAGTTAATTTTATTGGGGTTCGATAGGGCGATTCTTTGACGCATATATAGTAGCTGCAAGAAAACTCGGGCTGTTTCGAATTTTGACTGACAAAGTGAAGATGAAACACTTTTGAATAAGTCTGTGTACATGCAAAAGAAAATTTAGGTTGCAATCAAATATTCATAAAGAAGGGAGAATTATTTCCAAGTGGTTCACGTAGCTAAGCTACATTGAAAGTCTAAAAGGAAACTCAGGTCGCGGCCAAAATACATAAAGAAAGGAGACTTTTTTCAAAGTGATTTAGGTAGCTCAACTAGACTGAAAATCATTGCGTGGTTTGAATTCACAACAAAGAAAGAAAATGCGAGGTAGAGAAATTGGTCAACTCATCAGGCTCAAGACCTAAAAGTTACAGGTTCGAATCCTGTCCCCGCCTAAGCAGTGGAACATTGTTCACTAGGATAGAAGTCAGGTAATGCCAATTGATAAAGTGACGTTAAGCATCTCTAAAGCTACGAAAAGAGGGGTTGTGATAATATCATCTACGTATGACTACATTCGATAAGACTTGACTCACTCCTAGCCACTCCGGGGTACCGTAGCATGTCAGGAATAAGGGGGGACATACTCAATGTGAGCACTCCCTTGTTGGGGGCTTGCTGCCCTGCTCTTCGAGTTTTGACTTGCAAGTATATGTTGGAATTTGGTGCAGGGAGGGTGGGTGGTCTCAAGTGAGGTTCTCCACAAACTTTTTGGTATACATATTACAGTAGTTGATTCTTCTGAGTAAGTTAATGTCCATGTATCTATAGAATTCCTAGAAGTTGGAGAATGTGTTCATCTCTTGTGCCTTTGTATGGCTTAATTGACTGATCACTAGCACCCTTTTTTTAAAAACATTCACCTGTTTTAAATTAGCTTTACTATGGATTTGCCTGCAGTTGTAATCACTTAATGCCCTTTCACTGTTGGAGATGACTGTCACGCCCCGAACTTGGGCCTGGACGTAACACGACACTCGGTGCCTGACTACATGTGACCGAGCTAACCAACTGGCTGGCTGAATCAACATGTGATATCATAACATACTAAATACGGAAGATAAGCTAACACATGCTGACATACTGAAAGTCCAGATGTTATAAATCAAAGTGCGGAAATACTAATACCATTCTGAAACATATATGCAGCCAACATGGCTTAACATGAAAAGTCTGAGACTCTGTCTAATTGTTACTCTAGTCTATGAAACCTCTAAGGAAGTACTGAAAACACTGACTGTAAAAAAAAATACTGAAGACTGTAAGGTAATGATAATGCCCCGAAAGAACTGGGATCACCAAATAGCTGGTACGAGAATCCTAGCGCTCGGAATCATCAAACTGTAAATCATTACCTGCATTGTGAGATGCAGGCCCCGGACAAAAGGGACGTCAGTACATTTGAATTGTACTGGTATGTAAAGTAACTGAAAGAAAGAATTATAAATGCTGAAACTGAAATTAAGTTGAATACTGAGATTTGATAATTGATAACTAAAATGATAACTATTGAAACTGAAACAGAAATGATAACTGATGACTGAACTGATAACTGATAACTGATAACTGAACTGATAACTGGCAACTGAAATGGTAACTGATAATTGAACTGAACAAAGGAAGTAAGGATATGAATACTCCCTCTTCTGAATGATGAACAACCTGCTTATCTGAATAATAAACTGCGGCCTCAGGCCCAATATATATATATATGCACAAACTGCGGCCTCGGGCCCAAGTATACATATACATAACTGCGACCTCAGGTCCAACATGCATAAAGCATAAACTGCGGCCTCAGGCCCAAATACAGGTGTTCAACATTCAGGGATTTAAAATCAGCAACTGAGAATCATACTGCAATACATGATACTGAAATACTGAATCACGCTGAGTTACATGATACTGGAATACTAGACCATACTGAGTACATAATACTGGAATATTGAATCATACTGAGCTACATAATACTGGAATACTGAATAGGACTAGAATGAGACATGTATTCTTGAATTGATTATGAACACTGAAACTTCAACTGTTTGCGACATGCTAAGTAAGCTATACTGATATTTAGGGACATCAAACCCAAGTCTATATTGAATACGAACTGAGCTCACGACGTTTAGAATGAAAGTCATGAACGAGTTATGAAGCTAGAGAATAGAAGTTCTACAACTATTCAAGGAACTAGGCTTAACTGTATTTCTGAGGCAATTGATATGTCGTAAAAGGAACGTAGTGTAGGGAGAATCATTAACATTCCTAAACATAGAGAGTTAGCCTCACATACCTCAATGTCGCCCTTTAGTGATACTACAATGATCCACAACACTAAGAACCTTCAATCTACAATAGCAATATCCAATGGAACCAATATTAGTAACAAATTCCATAACTTAAGCCATTTAGGCATATTATCAAACACCTTGTAGGCATAAACCTCTACATCTCATCACCATAGTATTTGTTCTTCCAACTATCACCATTTACCAACAATTTATTCCACCATCGTTCCTAACAAATTTATAACTCTCAACAACATATATATATGACCATCCATTCACACCCAACCAACAAATCCTATCAAATAATCACCTTTAAATCCCTACCATAGTCATGCATTTAAATTGGGAATTTATGACTTCCAATCACCATACCATAAGTTGTAATACTTGATTTATACTAATGATTCCATAATAACACCATATATGTAAGTCTAAGGGTGTAGGATTACCTCTTGTAGACCAAATCTTGAAAGACAACTTTTGGGGTGTTCTTGAGATTTTGAAGAAATCCTATGAAACCCAATCAAAATCATGTTGTAACTAGTGATTGAGAAGTGAAATCACGATGAAAACACACTTAAAAACTCACCTTAGGTGTGCAATTGGATGCCTTGGTCGAGTTGGGGTGTAGAGGAAGCCCTAAGCTTGAGAAATGACTCAATTCCTCTTATTTACGGTCTTTAAGATATTTAAAACCTTCCAAGCGTGCGAGCTCGCGCGCCTGTTCGCGCGCGGGAGGCAGAATACTCAGCATAATGCACGATTTCACGCTAATGTTCGCGCTAGTGACACCTGCCCAGTAAAATGGTCATAACTTTCTGTAACCACCTCCAAATGACGAACGGTTTGTTGCGTTGGAAACTAGACTCAAAGGGCTTTAATTTGATTGGTTATGAATCACACAACTCGTTATAGAACTGGAGATATGATCGTTCAAAGTGAGGTCTTGTGCACACTCATTTACAGATTTCGTCTAATATGAAACTTTTCCAACTTGGCTTAGACTTAGGCCTCTCCTTAGACCCCAATTCACCTCTAGTATAACGTATACACTTATTATCATAACCACTCAATTACCATCACGCTAATACTCATTTAATGCATCCACAACCGATTCAAATTACGGGGTGTTACAATGACAAAGCTGGAGCTTGAAGAATCAAAGGTTAGGTTACAGCGATTGTCTTTCATTGACAATCCTATCTATTTCTTTGGGGTGTTTCAAACATTACGAAACTGATTTTTGACTGCACGTAGATTATCAGTTGCATTTACTTTTTCATTTGCATATGCGTAGAACATTATATGAAGCTCTCATAATTTATTTATTGGTGCTTCATACTTTTAGTATAACATAATTTAATGCTTAACATTTTAATTTCAGGAAGTCTATCAAAAACATTTTGAGGAATGACGTCAAAATGTCAACCCGATTCCTAGGATGGTAGCTCAACCCAAGTATCACTCAATGACATAGCTTCAATATGGTCGCAGGTGGTTGGTGGCGCAAAGAAAGGTAGAACCTATGGTCTTGGATTACAAAATTCAGTAGGGCGTTCTACGACATTGTTGATTGATGATGCGAGTTATTCGCAGAATCATGAAGAGGTAGAAGAATGAAAAGAAGTTGAAGAGTTGATTGAGGAACGGAAAGATGATCACACAAATTTTAACAAATTGCAGAGTCTAATGGAGAAACTTATGAGCACGCGTCAATTTGATCCTTTGAATGGAGAGGATGACAAGGATAATGAGTTTTAGTTTGCTGTGGTTATGATGTTTGAGACATTATTATTTGTTGTGGTTGGATGTTTGGACTTGGTAGTATTTACACTTGACTTTGATTGTAATGTTTTAGACTAGATTGAATAATGTTTAACTTGTGTTTGGTTGTTTTAGTTACAAATATTTATGTTTTCTATAATTGTTTGCATTTTATTGATTTGATTAGCTGAAATAGTGGATTAATTGGTTGGAATGGTGGATTGATTGGTTGGGATGGTAGATTGATTGGTTGACATGGTGGATTAATTGTTTTAATTGATGTATATTTGAATTGGTAGGTGGTGGTGCTTTAAAACAGCTGAAATTCGTCAAAAAATTCCCAGTTTTCCAATTGATTTCCGACCTCGATAGTTGCAAAATGCTTTAAAATTTTCTAGATTCAGGACATCTACCATTGCTGTAGTGAGAATATTAAATCAAAAAATAATATTAAATTAGATTTGCGACCGCAGTAGTGGAAAATATAATAAATAATATTAAATTAATGTTGCGACTACAATAGTGGAAAAACTCAAATAAAATAAAAATACTTTATATTATTTGCGACCAACCCGGTGAGAAAGAATAAAGAAAATTATAACTATATATACCATTTGTGACGGAAGTAGTGGGAAAGTTAATATAGAATTAAAATTTAATTTAAATCGATTGTGACCGCGTTAGTCGGATAGTTGGCGGCATTTATTAGTTATTTTTATATTTTGACTTTGCGACTGTTGTAGTCGCAAATTACGGACCGATTCAGTTATAAACTATTTCAAACAAGCTAATTTTCGACTATGATTTTTAGGTCTGAATGTAGTCGGAAATTAGCCATTTTCTCGTAGTGATATATGCACCTTCTACTGAAACAGGACCCTTATAACTCTGAGGCTGAGAGTGCTCATCGTGAATGCATTTCTGCGTATTAGCAGTTTATTTCTGGTCAGTAGATTTAGTATAGTCAACTCATTTATGCATATTAGTTTATGATCTTGTGAGCTCTAAATACACCGATTATAAATCCCAAGGAGAGTGTAGTTGAGGTACTTTGTTTCTATCTTTAGATATTGTTTCCTTGGAGCAAGTCAAATTCTCCTTTGGATGTCAAATGTTGGATTATCAATTATGTGTCATGCTATGATAGGGAAATCTCTGTCCTTTCTGGATATTGTTGAGGTAATAGCTAGTGTGCTTTTACAATAATAACAACCCAGTATAATCCCACAAATGAGGTATGGGGAAGGTAGTGTGTACGTAGATTTTACCCCTACTGTCACGACCCAAAGCCTAACTAGTCGTGATGACACCTAACCCATCCCGCTAGGTAAGCCAACTCATCAAGTCCAATACAATATAACTTACCGAGGAAAAATAAATGATCTCTTATACACCTCCCCAGGACTGGTAGTACAAAGTATGAGCTTCTAAGAATAGAGTTTACAAAGCTGATATAAAAAAAATACATCATTTGTTTGACAAATACATAAATAGAGTTTAAAATTCTAAGGCTACCATGACCAAGAGGCAGCTACAACAGTGATGCCGGTACATTTTCCAAGTCAGCTCCCATCGAACACAGCAACGTCGACATCCGAAATCTGCACGCAATGTGCAGGAAGTGTAGTATGAGTACAACCGAACCTATGTACTCAATAAGTAACAAACCTAAACTTAGGTTGAAAGTAGTGACGAGCTTGTACCAAGGTCAGAGTCCACACCAATATCCAGTAACATCTCATAACAATATAATTAAAGCATCACAAGGAATAACTCAATAATAAAATGCTCAGCTCGTTCACAGTTCCAAAAAAAATATTTTCTTTTCAAGTATAATAGTAAAACTCAATTCTTTTCACTGAAATCACCAAAATATGAGTAAGTCTGAAAACTATGATCTTTCCCATAAAACTTTCTTTCAAAATAAGAGATTTCATTTTTCAATTGGCATGAGGAAAGTACATCTCTATGCCTATAATTCAATGTGCATGCCAATGCAATGCAAAATAGTGACAAAACCATATGTATACTCTTAGAGTATCAATTCACTCAGCCCTCCCTGTCACTCAATCCTCTCAGTCACTCAGTCCTCCCAGTCACTCAATCCTCACAGTCACTCATGCCTCACAATCACTCAATCCTCCCAATTCACTCGGCACTCGCACTCAGTAGGTATCTGCGCTCACTGGGGGTGTGCAGACTCCGGAGGGGCTCCTTCAGCCCAAGCGCTATAACAAGCCACCTCGTGCCATAAATCAATCAAGCCCTCGGCTTCACTCAATCATAAATTAGTAACAACATGCTGCGGCGTGCAGCCCGATCCCATAATCATCCTCACAATTAGGCCCTCGGCCTCACTCAGTCATCAATCTCCCCAGTCTCTCGGGCTCAAAATGTCATGAAAATCAGCCCAAAAATGATGATATAATGTATCAATAATAACAACTGAGACCGAGATATTATATGAATAAATGAATATGACTGAGTATGAAATATCAATGAAATCAGTGAGATGACAGCAAGAAACGACCACTATGGGTCCCAACAATATCGGCATAAAGCCTAAACATGATATCTAGCATGATATACAGCTTACTTATCACATGGTGAAAACACAGATATCAACAAAGTAGGACCACTACACAGTGTCCCGGAAACAATAGAGTCACCATTTATAGGGTGCATGCCTACACGCCTGTCACCTAGCATGTGCGTCACCTCAACATCAATCACATAACACATAATTCGGGGTTTCATACCCTCAGCACTAAGTTTAAAAGAGTTACTTATCTCAAATAAGCCGAATCCAATGTAGAGCAAGCTAAACAATGCTCCAGAAATTCCATTATGCGCGTATCAACTTCTGAACAGCTCGAATCTAATAATTAATTCGATTCAGTCAACACAAATTATAGAAATTAATTCCATATGAAAATACTAATTTTCCAACAAAAATCCGAAATTAACTCAAAAATTACCCATGGGGCCCACGTGTCGAAACCTGACAAAAGTTACAAAATCTGAATGCCCATTCGACCACGAGTCCAATCATACCAAATTTACCAAATTCCGACATCAACTCGACCTTCAAATCCTCAAATCTTATTTTCAAATCCCTAGGTCCAAATCCTCAATTTATACCTCAAAAACATGTAATCTAGTCGGATTATTCCATGATAATTCAATATTATGAAGTAGAAATGATCACAAGTGACTTACCTCAAGATGTCCCATGATTTCTTGCTCAAAAATTGCCCCAGGCCGTGTTCTTTAGCCCAAAAATGTCAAAATGGGCTAAAAAAAAATAGAACAACATTAAAAACACGATTCTGGTCGCTAAAGGCCAAATTACCGTCTCTATAAGTGTCACATATGTTTGCTAAAGGTGCACACCAGATCCTGCTGCACCAGCAGTCTTTAATTTCACTAAAAATGCTCTAACTCCATCATACGAACTCGGAATTCGATGATTCTTGTTCCTATGAGTCACAAATAATAATATGGACCTAGTCCTTCAATTGAAACTCAATTTGGAGCTCATTTGCTTAGCACGATACCCATTTCGCTCGTTAAATAATTAACTCATGTTTCACGTTAAAAACTCAATCGCGACTTGACGAAATTAGACCAAACTTTCCAGATTACTTCTATAATTCATTATAAAAATTTCAGAAGTCTCGAAATCAAATTTTGATCTCTAGAACTAAAAATGGACCTTTGGATCATTACATGCTTAAAACACTAAACTCTTCCAAAACCTCTTCCAGACAGCCTGTAGTGTATCAACCATAACGTTTTGTACGCAACTCCAACTTCCAAACGGTTTAAATTTATGAAAACTAGATACAATGGGTTACAACTTTCATGTTTTGATAATCTCCGAATTCCTTATAGATTGCTAGATATAAGCTCCCAAAATAAGCCTTTTGCATCTAAAACTTCACTGCTCTAGCCAAAAACACCAGCAGTTAAAAATGGCCTAGAAATGGTCCAAAACCACTTTGAAACTCACCCGAGCCCCTCGAAACCTCATCCGAACATATCAATAAGTCTCAAAACATATTACAAACTTTTTCAAGGCCTCAAATCACATCAAATAACACTAAAACACGAATTGCACCCCAATTCAAGCTTAATGAAAACTAACGAATTCCAAATTCTACATTCAATGCTGAAACCTATCAAATCAATCCGGAATGACTTCAAATTTTGCACACGAGTCATAAATATCATAATGAAGCTGTTCAAATTTTCAAAACTGGATTCCGATCCGGATATCGAAAAGTCAACTCCCCGGTCACACTTCCAAACTTAAATTTCCTATTTTCGTCATTTCAAGCCTAATTTAGCTACAGACCTCAAAATAAATATACGGGCATACTCCGAAGTCCGAAATCACCATACAGATCTATTGGAACCATCAAAATCCCATTTTGGGGTCGTTTACACATATTTCACTATCCGGTCGATTATTTCAACTTAAGCTTCCAAAACAAGAATTGTTCTTTCAATTAAATCCCAAATCATCTGAAAAACCAAACTTGACCACCCTTGCAGTTCATAATAAACATTTCAAAGCTTCTCAAGACCTTAAGCCACCGAACAGAATGCTAATTCTCAAAATGACAAGTCGGGTCGTTACACCTAGGGTAGAGAGGCTGTTTCCAATAGACCTCCGGCATCCTTCCCTCCTAGAACTCCCCACCTTGCTCTTGGGGTGACTCGAACTCACAACCTTTTGGTTGGAAATGGAGGCTAGTGTGCTTTTAATGGATGAATTTACAGGTTCTGTATATTAGTGTTTTAGGACAGAGAAAGCGAAGTACAAAGACTTGAGACCTGTCCAGGCTCTCTAATTGGAAAAATTAGATGTCACAATAGCATCTTACATCATTGAGGCAGCATATATTTCAATTCTGATTTATGCAAACTATGACATAGGTTGATTTTGGGCGTACAATGTTCTTTTATTTAGACATATTATGTTAAATTTTTGGATTGTTCAACTCAAGTATCAAGTGGGATTGTTCAACTCATTATGTTAAAAAGGCAAGTTTGTTTTGCTACTTTTGGGATTGTTCAGCTAGGTATCAAGTGTAAGATATGTGTGTATAGCCCAAATTGCTACACTATT